CCCCCTCCCCTGGACCGGGACGGGGGGGGCCGCGGGTAGTTAGAGCGTCCAAGATGGCCCAAGACGGCTCCAAGAGCGCCTCAGAGAACCCAAGATGAGCTCCAAGATGGCTCAAGATAGCGCAAGATCGCTCACAATGGCTCCTAAGATGGTTCCAAGAAGCCCAAAGACGGCCCCAAGATAACTCCAAGTGGCCAAACAGCTCCCCAAGGAGGCCCCGAAGAGGCCAAAATCGTCCAAAAACCTAAGGAAAATCAATGATTTTTGCTTTCTCGCCTTTTCGCTTCCGATGGCCATCCGAGGCCTGGAGATGGCTCCAAGATGGCCCAAGAGGGCCCCAAGAGAGCCCCAAAAGAGCCCCAAGACGGCCCCAAGAGCGCCCAAGAGCACGCCAAGAGCGTTCCAAGAGGGGTCCAAGAGGCGATTTTAGGGGCTTCCGAGGGGGGGCGCTAATTAAACCCCCCCTCTTGTTTGATCGACTCCCTCCAAGATTGCCCCAAAAGCGCCCCGAAGGCTCCCCAGAGCGCCTCAAGAGGGTCCCAAGAGGCGCCCAAGATGCCCCAAGGCGCCCAAAAAGCCCTCCAAGAGGCCCTAAAAAGACCCCCAAGAAGCTCCTTCCCCTCCTCCTCCTCCTCCTCCGATTCTTCCTCCTTCTCCGTCCTCCTCCTCCTCCTCCTCCTCCTCCTCTTCCCCCTCCTCCTCCTCCTCCTCCTCCTCCTCCGACGACGACGACGACGACGCCTCTTCCATCCTCCCTCTCTCGGGGTCTGTGACAGCTTCCCCCGCCCTTTGTTATTCTGCATGCTCCCCGACTTCCCTGATCACCTCAACTCCCCTGAGCATCGTTTCTGGATGGGCTGGTGGGGATACGCGAAGCGTCAACAATTCTGACTGGAAAGCCTACGTGCAGAGTGGGTAAGGACTGGCGTGAGATAGACTTCTTCATTGTGTCGGCGAGCTTAGTGCCCTGGGTTTGGCGCTGCGATCGATTGGAAGGGTCCGAACTGTCTACCCATTACCCCATCAGAATGTCGATCAGGACTTGTACTCACCTTGGCCAGATCAGATGTTTGTGGACGCCCAAGAGGTTCCCTGATCTTCCGATCGGTCCTGCGCCTGCCCCGCCAGCTTGGTGGGAAGGCACTCAGATTCAGATTGAGCAGCTGGTCCGGGAACAAGCAGTCACGCAAGCTCAGGTCTCGCAGGCTTATGCATCCTTTTGCCAGGCAGCTGAGCTAGAGCTCGCAGAGACGTACCAGTTGGAGCTGTCGGGCTCCAAGGGGAACTTCTTCGGCAGAGGCGACAAGTTTAAGTTCGTGTATAAACCGGCCATTGTCAAGGTTGGCGGGCCACATCCCCTTGGGTCTCCAGTGTCTAGGGCGATGCGCAAGTTCCACACGCGCCTAGAAGAGTTGGGGCACCTCAAGCGTAAGGGATACGACGACGACGATAAGCAGGTCAGTGAAATCAACCAAAAACTTCAGAAGGCTCCGGAGCTGCTCTGGCACTCTTCTGGCTGGCGGAAGTGGCGTGCTGGTCATTTCAGTTTCAGGGGCTATGGGGCGGCCTCGATCAGGGACGCCTTGTTTGAGTTGAGCAAGCTGATCCAGTCCGAGGAGGCTTCTTGGGTTAGGCATCGTCAAAAGAAGTGGAGATCTTGGGCTTCAGAGGAAGTGGCAAACGGGGGGAGTATGGCACATAGGTGGGTGAAGGTCCCGAACGAGTGGATCCCAGATGAGCCAGGCCCCGATGGAACCCCAGGAGGCGCGATGGACCAGATAGAGGCACTCGAAAGTGAATGGAAGGGTATTTGGAGGTACGGAGACTTGAAGGAGCCCGAGGCCCTACTTATACAGTCTTTACCCATGGATGACCCTCCAGAGCCACCTGAGCCTCAGGAATTACGTCGAGTTCTTGGGAAGTTTAAGAAGCGTACGGCGGTGGGGGCCTGCAGGTGGCCGCCATCACTTTTGAAGTCCTTGTGTGATGACGGGCTTCGTGTATTTGGACTCCTGCTGCACATGTGGGAGAAGTTCGTGTGTCTTCCTGAGCAGATCATGCTGCTCATCCTCCCCTTCCTCCAGAAACCAGAAGGTGGTAGGCGACCGATAGGTATTTTGCCCACGCCAGTTCGTGTTCTTGGGAGGTTGCGTCATCGGGAGGCGGAGAGATGGGAGGAGGTGAACCACAAGGATTACATGTACGGGGGGAAAGGACGGAGCTGTGAGATGGCGGTGTGGAGGCAAGCGATTAACAACGAGGCGGCTATCGCCAGCAAGTTTTTCAGTGCCTGCACGTTGATTGACCTTGAGAAGGCTTACGAGAGAGTGACGCACCAGCTCCTGCTTCGTTCGTGTCATCGGCATGGCTTTAGCATCAGGCGCATTCGAGTGCTCCTCTTAGTGTACGGTGGGCCTCGCAGCATTAAGGTTGGCGAGGCCCTGTCCCTCCCTTTCACAGTCAACAGCAGCATAGTCGCGGGGTGCTCTTTCGCGACGACGCTGTTGAAGATAGTCCTCAAGGATGTGTGCGACGATTTTATGGCTAGATGGCCCCGTCTTGGGCTGGCGCTTATGGTTGACGATTCCACCATTCAAGCTTTGGGGTCCGAGCCATACGTGAAGAAAGCACTGGTGTCGGGGACGTTGCAGTTCTGTCGGGGCTTGGAGGCTTTGGAGCTGAAGGTTTCCAGGAAGAAATGCATGTTGGTGGCATCGGACATCAAAGTGGGCAGATCTCTGCAGCATAGTTTGAGAGAGTTCAGTTTCAAGTATGTGCCCGCGGCCAAGAACTTGGGCGTAGACTTTAAGTTGGCCTTCAACAAGGGCAGGCAGGTGACGAACAAACGAATCACCACTGTTCGTGGCCGAGTGCGACGATATCGAGCGTTCCGATTCTCGAAGAAACCGATTCAGCAGGTCTTCAGAGGTGGGGGAACGCCGGCTGCGATGTACGGGGTGGGGGTGGTGGGGATGTCCAACAACTCACTCCAGACGCAGCGGGCCACGACGGCCGCTGCCCTTTCGGCCCAGCCAAAGGAAGGTGCAGGGCTGTGCAGTTTTTACTTGCAGAGGTGCCGCAGGTTGACCCGTCTTTCCTGGCGAACGCCTTGCCGCTCATGATGTGGTGCAAGGCTATTTTTATGCAGTGGTCTTCAGAGGCACAGATGCAGACGGCCTTTGACAAGGCCAAGAAAGAAGTAGCGAGAGGTTGGAGAGGAGTCATCGGCCCCGCTGGGGCTGTGGTACAGACTCTGATTAGGTTGGGTTGGACTGGGACCTCCTGGTGCAGATGGGTTACTTCGACGGGGCTTAGCCTGGACTTGCGTGAGTTGGGTCCTCGTACGATCAAGGCCCTCTTAGACGACACCACGGAGCAGCTCAGTCTAAAGAAGGTCAGCGAGTTTTACAACCTGTCTTGGGAGCCCTTCCTGGACCCGATCAGAGGTGTGATTGCCGAGCTGAGGAAGAGAGGGGACCATCTTGGGATCAGTCTTCTTATCGCTCAGGTTTCTGGAGGCCTCTGGACGCAGAAAGACCTGTTCAAGCATCGCTATAGTTTGGACCCGCTCTGCAGGTGGTGCAAGGCCCGTGAAGGGTCCGTGCATCACAGGATATGGGGCTGCGATGGCTCCTGGCTTTTACGGCGTGATCTTGACCCAGGGGGTAAGTTGCTGAAGCAGGGGATCAACGCCCAGGTAGATCTTAGATGGACGCGAGCGTTGGTGCCCAGCGACCGCGAGTCCATCCCGAAGATTTTGCACGGAGCTGAGTTTAACTGGGCCCATCCTCCTCACCGTGATGGAACCCTGGGGCCATATGTCTGTGTCGATGGTTCGGGATATGACAATGACAGCAGATGGTTGGTCCGAGCAGGATGGGCAGTAGTATCAGTTTCCTTAACGCTGGAGGTGGAGGCCATAGCGTATGGCCCGTCGCCGCTTCCAGTTCAAGATGTTCCAAGTTCAGAGCTCTACGCCTTTTTTTATGGCCCTGACGCTCATGGGCCCAACGATCACGATATGCACGGATTGTCAGATGGTCGTCGACGGGTGGGAGGCTGGGGAGGCAGGCGCTACTCACCCAAACAAGGCGTATGCTGAACTCTGGAGGCAGATTTGGAGGAGAGTCGAGGATGTGGGGAGAGAGAACGTCCAGGTTGTGAAGATAGCCGCGCACCAGTCGCGGCGTGCGGCATTCAACCATGGAGTACCGCCTCATTTCTTCCATGGGAACAGGCTCGCCGACGAGTGGGCCAAGACGGGTGCCAAGGCGCACCCGATGAACTTCCACGTCAGAGACAGGATAAAGTTCCATCATGATCAAGTGACCCTGTTGGCCAGGTACATGACTGAGGTGTTGAAGAATGTGCACAGGTTAGGGTACCCCGACGTTGAGGCCATCAAGGAACGTAGGCAGCGGACCCTTGTTAATTCAGAGGCCCCCCTGCTTGAGATAGTTCCAGATGATAAGGGTCACAAAATATCACAGGTTCCAGGTGGGTGGGGGTGCAGTGTCTGTGGGATCGGGCGGAGTTCGCGCTCTCGGCTGGTGCAGCTGCCGTGCCCTGGGGTCCCCGTGGTCTTCCTGAAAGCTCACCCCACCCACCGCCTCTGGGCCAACGGGCCAGTCTTGTGGTGCTCGGCGTGCGGGGTGTACGCCCAGCAGCAGGTCAAAGATCTTGCTGAGAGGTGTGCTTCTCGCGCCGTCGGAGAATGGAAGAAGAGGTCACTGCGCCTCTTGAAGCAGGGCAAGAACCCGTCCTCGCCGAAGGCGGAGGCGGTCGTGCCCGTGCCTCTCCATCGATAGTTTTTCTTTGAAGTGCGGGCATCTTGTGTTCACGGGATGGATCGCTTGGCAGCGCAGAGCGCAGAGGAGGAGGAGGAGGAGGAGGAGTAGGAGGAGGAGGAGGAGGAGGGGAGGTGGGGTAGTGAGGCGGAGGAGGCGGAGGAGGGAGGAGTAGGGGAGGAGGGAGGGCAGGAAGGAGGAGGAGGAGGAGGAGGAGGAGGAGGAGGAGGCGGAGGAGGAGGAGGAGGGGGTGGGGAGGAGGACGGAGGAGGAGGTGGATAGGAGGAGGTGGAGGAGGAGGATATGCCTGGGATCGAATTCTTCCCTACTTTTTTTATTTGCATCGGGTCGGCCAGAAGCGCGCTGTCGATGCTCGGATCAATCCACGCCCCCCCATAAACCCAGGCCGCTGGGCCCAGAGCATGTAAGCAGGTCCACCCAGAGGGAAAGGCATACTGGAGCACAGGGGTCGGCCTAAACCGTGTTGTTTATTGTCTCTCTTTCCCTCGGTTTGTCTCCAATTCGCCTTGGCTACAAAACGAATTCGAAACGAAACGGCCCACGAAATCGCCAAAAGGACGCTGCTGACCATAAATGTAAGCAAGTCCACCTGGAGGAAGGGGATAATGGAGCACAAGGGTCGACCTAAACCGTGCTTTCCGATCTCGTACTGTTTTCGCTTTCCCTCGTTGCGTCTCCAATTCGCCTTGGCTGCAAAACGAATTCGAAACGAGAACGGTCCACGCAATCGCCAGAGCACCGTCTAGGCCGACCCCTGATTGCGATTGCCTCGGTCTACGGCTGCGGCTGCAGCTTCCTCGGACGAGCCAATGTCCTGGTCCCTAGCGAGGTCACCGCTCACACGGCCTCGGCCGATCGGATTGGATCGCACCGAGGTCGCCTCGCATCGATCGCATCGATCGGATCCCTCGCCTGGGACCGACTCGGATCGGGCCGGCCAGAAGCGCTGTCGCATCGGATCGGTCGGATCGAATTTGGGCCCCCGAGGCGAGGCGCGTTGGGGAAACCGAAAGGCAACGATACCGCTACTCCCTTGACCTCTCCCAGGGGTGGGCTCGGACCAGAGTTTCGAGGCGAATCCAGCGGTGGCGACGAGGGCCCCCCAGGAGGCCGAGACAGGGGAAAGCGAGGGGAGGGCAGAGGCATGGGCACCCTCCCCTCCTCTAAGAAACTGGGCTCCCGGGGGGGGGGGCGGAGGGCTCGGCCGCGGACCTCGCCGCGGCGTCCTCCGGGGAGAGCTCGCCGGAGCCCCCGCAGTCGGCGCATCTCCCGGTGCCCCTCGGTGCAGGGGCACGGCAGGCCGCCGAGCTGCCGCCGACCGCCCTCTGGCCGAGGCCGCCCTTTGGGGGGGCCCTGGGCGGGCCTGCTGCACACCCTCGCGATGCGAACGAAGTCGCGACCACACGTTTTCTGGCCGCCTGGAGCCTGCGTTCCTGTGGTGAGATTCGGGTAAGTCTACTTGCATGGCGTTCGCCCTCCCCACCCTCTCGCCCCTCTTCAGACGAACACTGGCGTGCAAGTGCCTTTCGACTTGCGTGATTTCCGCACGTGCAAATCGTCTGCGGCTTGCTTCAGGTTCGACCCCCACCTCCGTCCATGCAAGTAAAATTGCTGGAGTCTTGAAAACAACAGGCTCCTTCGGCCTCTGGGGGCCTTGCCGGGTTGTAGGACCGTCAGCGAAAACTGCCAGGGATGGGAATGCAGTCCCTGGGAAGGGGTCCAGGCCTCCAGAGGTCCATGTCGCCCTGGTGTCGTGACAAAGCACAAGCAACTTTGTATCTAGGTTGTGCTGCAATGTCCCGCCTCGCGGGGCCCTTCATGGGCCCCGGTGCAGTCAAAGAGAGACCCTGGGGGGGGTCAGGCCCGTGGGCGCCCGGCCCTGGAGGAGGAGGAGGAGGAGGAGGAGGAGGAGGAGGAGGAGGAGGAGGAGGAGCAGGAGCAGGAGCAGGAGGGGGAGGAGGAGGAAGAGGAGGAGCAGGAGCAGGAGGGGGAGGAGGAGGAAGAGGAGGAGGAGGAAAAGGAGGAGAAGGAGGAGGGGGAGGAGGAGGAAGAGGAGGAGGAGGAGGAGGAGGAGAAGGAGGAGGACAAGGAGAAGGAGGAGGACGATGAGCATCCGGTCACGGGGAGGGGGTCCAGACCCCTGGAGGCCCACGTCGCGAGAGAGAGAACGGCGCTGGAGTCCCTGGGGGCGTCTCCGCCCTGGTCAGGGCCGTCTCGGGACCCCGGACTGGTGCTTCCCGCCGTGGTGTACTGCGGGATGACGATTAATAAAAGAGTGGGAGGGAACGATTAAAAAAATAGTTTTCAGCTGTTTCTGCACAAGTTTCTGACTGGAGGAGAACGATTAAAAAATAGTTTTCCAGCCCGCGGTCGGTTGTTTCTAATCGTCATCCCGGGCGCCGCCGCGTGAACACCCGGTCATTTATTAATCGTCATCCTCCATTACAGGGGGGGCCCGACCACAGGAGACCCACAAGAAACCGAACCCTGAGACCCCAGGACGTGCATCGATGTTTGGCGTGGGAACGTCACGCTCTCCATGGCAAAACCATCGAAAGACAGGAAACCCAGGGCACCCTGGAGGCAAGCAGGGTGTTTCTTGGCATGGGCCTCCACTGCACAGTCCTCGCGCCACGGACGCGGGGGCTCCTCTGGCCACGGCGAACCTCGGCCGCGAACAAGTTTGCCCACATGGCTCGAAGGCACGGCTCTGAAATGATGTTGCTTCAAGCGATCCCCACCGAAACCTGAAGCGCTTGTTCCCGACGGCGCGCGGTCGACTAAGTGGTCGGCAGCCTGGATTCCAGAACGACTCAACCGAGTTCCACGTGGTCACGCTCTCAAATGCACTGCTCCATTGTGTCCTATTATGTTCTCGGCGAGCCAGCGTGACGTCGTGACGCTGGTGGCGATAGCCACGTCGTCTGTTCTGATGTTCCTTGTCACTTGCATGTTTCTCTTCTGATTGAGTAGCTTATGTTATGCTCATCTCTGTCACCAAATGCTATGAGATGTTATGACATGGTCTGCTCTGTGGCACTGTGATTCGCTATGGTACAGTATGTCAGCGTATGCTATAGTATGATATGGTCTGTAATGTTGCTGGAAGCTCGGCTCAAAGCATTGTATCATGATATGGTATGCTAATATATCTGGCTATGCTGTGCTGTCGTAGTATGATGTGCTCCGTAATGCGATCGCACCATGGTCTGATAAGTTATGTCATGGTCTGTCGTGGTATGCTCAGTTATGTTATGGTGTGTTGTGGTAGGTCGTAGTGTGTTGTGTCATGGTCTGCTCTGCTCTTTTCTGTGATGTTATGTTTGTTGACGGCTCGGCCCTGTATAATATATGATCACCTGCCCTGCTAATATGCAGCGCTATGCTCTGCTGTAGTGTTATGATGTGATCGCTGATGCTGTGTCGTGATATGTTATGTAGTAGTATGCGCTGTCATGGTCTGTTATGGTACGTAATGTGGTGTTATGGCCCTCCATATGTTGTCATGACATTGCTATGTTATGTTCTGTAATGTTATGTCATGCTCGTGTTATGCTATGTAAGTGTGTGCTGTGTCATGCTGAGTTCTGTCGTGTTCGTCGTCGCTATGCTCTGCGGTCGTGCTATGATCCTCCCCGTGATGATGTGTCATGATGTGATCTTGTATGCCAACGTGTGTCATGTTATGTTTGGCTATGTGCTGGTATGCTGTGATCGGTCGTCTTCTGTTCTGGCAAGTTCTGCGTCATTATGCTCTGTGATGCTATGTTTGTTGACGGCTCGGCTCTGCAAATCCTGTGATGATGCGCTCTGATAGCATGTGTCGCTATCCTATGCTGTCGTGTGAAGATATGTTATATGATGCTGTCATGATTTGAAATGGTATGTCAAGGTGCGTTATGGTATGCGCAGATATGGTATATGACGTTATGTTGTGTTATGTTGTGTTATGTCGTCGTATGGTGTGTGTGGTTCTGCTCAGGTATGTTATGCGATGATATGCTATGTCATAATTTGCATGACATTGCTATCTTATGCTATGTCATGTTCTGCCATGATCGTGTTTCAGTATGTCATGTTATGGTGTGTCATCTGGCGGTGTGTCCTGTTCGTCGTTGCTATGCTCTGCTGGCCGTGCTATTATGTGTTCTGCGATGCTGCACCATGGTGCGACATGTTCGGTTAAGGTGTTTCAAGTATGCTCAGTTATGTCATGCTATATTGTATCAAGTTATGTCATGATGTGCCATGGTGTATTATATGGTGCCCTGTTATGGCCGATTTGGACATGGCACATATTATGTTAATGCGTGGCATGTTATGCTGAATTAGTGTATGCTACAGATGCTGGTCTATATACTAGTATGTTATGCCATGCTCTGCTATGGTATGTTATGGCATGTTATGTAATGCTCTACTTTGTCATGTTATTGATATGTTATGGTATTCCATGTTATGGCATGCTCTGTTCCGTTATGTCATGTTCTGTTCTGTCATGCTGCGTTCTGTCGTGTTCGTCGAGGGCGCGAGCTAAGACACCCGGGACTCTCGGGGATCATCGGGACAATTCGGGGTCTGGCGGCCGCGAGAAGGGCTACTCGGGACCACTGAGACAACTTGGGGACTGGCGGCCGAGGTATGCAAGGTGGGGTTGGCCAGGCGCGGGACGGGCTACTCGTGACCACTGAGACAACTTGGAGGTCTGCGGCCGCGGTGTGCAGGGTGGGGTCGGCTGGGGGGCCTGTTCTTGAAATTTAGCAACCCCGTGGGGAACAAGAGCCGCCCCGGATCCCAAAGTGGTCCTTGTGGCAGCGCCTAAGACTGTATTCGCCATGGTGTGCATCCGCCACCGTGCGCGCAGAGTGCGGGCGTGCTAGAACCTGGGCCTGCACGGCAACGGAAGGAGCGCATCAGAAAAGTGCGGAGCGCAACAGAAAAGTGCACGAGATGGCCGCTCTTGGGGGGCCTTGGCGTTCAGAACTCGACACGTGACTGCTCGCTTTGGGGAAGCCTCGGTGTTACGAGCTGCTTCACACGCCGCTGTGGACTCTCGGAAGCCTCGATCTAAAAAAGCGTGTTGCGTCGCCCTTCGCTCTTTTGGGGCCTTGGCATTCGGAGCGCGCTGCGTGACCCTCTCGGCTCTCGGGAGCCTTGGCCTTCGAAGAGCGTTTTGCGCCATCGGTGCGGCGTGCGGCCAGGGTCGGTGGCGGCGTGCGGCCGCCGGGGTGCCCCGCCTGATCATCTCGCCGAGCAGCCCGGGGTCGTGGCCGCCGCAGGCGGCGCAGCCCTGCCACTTCTGCCCGAACTCCAGCTCGGTGCTGCGGTGCCCCAGGGCGCTCACCAGGAACAGGCTGAGGTAGCGGCCCCTGCCGTGGCAGTCCTGGAGAGGAGCGAGGCCACATCGGCTCGCGCCCCCCCTCGCGTCGGGAGGCAGATCACGGCGGACGAGCTGTGGCAGCCTCCTGCCTCCCCGGGCTCGCTTTCTGGGCCCCGGGACCCTCGACAAACCTGCCGTCCAGGCTGAAGAAGCTGTCCAGGGGAAGGGGTCCAGACCTTCTGGGGTCTGGGGCTACCGATCTCCGGGTCCAGACTTTGGCGGCGAGCGCGGGGGGGAAGTGAGAAGGGGCGGGCCTTCTCAGAAGGCTCCGAAGCCCCCTGGCATTGTGAGAAGTGTTCTAAGCCCTCCCCGAAGACACAACAGACTTCTCAAAAGGCGCGAGGGCAGGGCTTCTGAGAGGCCCCGCCGCCTTCTGAGAAGGACTCCTCCTTATCATTTCCCCCCATCGCTCGCCGCCGACTTGGTACATACTCGTGCTTCGGGTGTCCTCTGCTTCTGAGATTCTCACTTCCACCCCCTCCTCTGCTCGCCGCCGAAGACTTGCCCCACGCTGCGGCGGACAAAAACGCGCTGCCGAGGGCCCTGGAATCCATCGACACCGCCGCGCCGCGGACCTCCACGATGGGCGCCTTCTGCAAACAACAGGATCTCCCGAGGCGGGTCTGGCCGTGACGGCAAGGAGCGCCGCCCCCCCTCCCTTGCCTCCCCGAGGACCGAAACAATGGGCGAAGACGAAGTCCTCCTCCTCCTCCTCCTCCTCCTCCTCCCTCCCTCCCTCCCTCCCTCCCTCCCTCCTCCCTCCCTCCTCCTCCCTCCCTCCCTTCCCTCCCTCCCTCCCTCCCTCCAACTCTCCCTCCCTCCCTCCCTCCCTCCCTCCTCCTCCCTCCCTCCCTCCCTCCTCCCTCCCTCCCCTCCTCCCTCCCTCTCTCCTCCTCCTCCTCTCCTCCTCCGCCTCCTCCTCCTCCTCCTCCTCCTCCTCCTCCTCCTCCTCCTCCTCCTCCTCCTCCTCCTCCTCCTCCTCCTCCTCCTCCTCCTCTCCTCTCCTCCTCCTCCTCCTCCTCCTCCTCCTCCTCCTCCTCCGCGCCCCTGCGGGCTTTCTCCGACGGCAGTCCCGGCACTCGCCCGAGCAGGCGCAGGCCTGGCACGGGAGCGGGATCGACCTCTGCCGCTCCTCCCGCTCCTGGTGGGCGGCAGCGCAGCCCGTGCAGCAGACCAGCTCGGTGCACGCTCGCGCTGTCGCGCGTGCCAAGCACCGTCGGGGCGTTGACCTAAGGAACGATAAATAAGGAACGAAGCCCCTTTTTATCCCAAGGAATAACGCATAAGGAGCGATAAATAATAGATAACGCAAAACAAACTGCAAATAACGCATGTAAAATCTAAGGAACGACCGAGCCCCTTTTGAAACGCAAGTGTTCCTTATTCAAGCCGCTCACTGTAGCGCGGAAGCGTACATCGGACTGGTCTTACGCAGCAGGCATCCCGCCACCCTGCTTGCCCAGCGCCTCCCCTGGGCCCCGGCATGGTTTGCGCAGCATCCTGGGCCGAAGGTGGGCCTGGCCAGGCATGGCGGTGCATGGGTGCCCCCTGCGGACCGCAGACCCTCGACGTATCGGCCTCTGCCTACCACGGCGCGGACGCCCCGCGGCCGGGGCCAATTTTCTCCACATATCGCACTGCTCTTTGACGGTCCAATGGCTGGGGCTGGGTGGGGGGGGCCGAGGGCCTCCACATGTCCCCCCAGCTGCTGAAACCTTCGAAGAGGTGTTTTGTCCCTCTGGGCGGCGCCCACAAGGGGTCAGGGGGGGGAGGCTTCTTCGAAGGAGGCTGCTTGTTAGGAGGCGCGGGCCCTACATCTGATAAGGCCCGCGCCGTCCAAGAAGCAAGGTGTATCTGAGAAGGCTTGCCCCTTCCCTACTCCCTTGTGCGCGCCGCCATAAATTGTCCCTCACGCCGCGAGGTCAAGGTTCGAAGGCCATCCGCAAACTACCAGATCTCTCCTTGGGTGCGCTGTGACTCGAAGTTCCAGTCAGACCCAGCCGTTGCGCACAGGAGCACTCCCAAAGGCCCAACATGGGCGAGCACCCATCCAAGAAGCCAAATCCTTCGAACTCCGACGGGTCTGGCGGCGGCGCCCTTCCAGCGAAGCTCCCTAGCTTCGCGCGCAAAGGGGCGGGGGCCAGCATCGACACAAGGGTCCGCGCTGGAGCCTCGGGGACGCACCACAACCCCACAAGTGCGGGTAAGAGTGGGCAGGGGGGTGCGTCGGGGGCACTCGGCAGCCAGCGAGGCTCGAAAGCGAATGTGGAGAAGCCCGCCTCGTGGTGGTGGTGGTGGTGGTGGTGGTGGTGGTGGTGGTGGTGGTGGTGGTCGTGGTCGTGGTCGTCGTCGTCGTCGTGGTCGTGGTCGTGGTCGTCGACGTCGTCGTCGTCGTCGTCGTCGTCGGGCTGCGGCGTCGTCGCCGCCGCGTCCGAGAGCTCCTGCTCCTCGCGCCGCTTCGCCTCCTCCGCGTCGCGCGCCCGCCGGCGGTGCGCCTGCTCCTCCAGCTCCCGCCGGCGGCGCTCGGCCGCCTCGGCGCTGCGGCGCTCCTCGTCCTCGTGTCGGGAGGGGGGGGGGGGCCGGCGGGCGCGTGGAGGTTGCGTCGTGCCCCTCGGGCTCTCCTGCGCCTGCTCCTCCTCCTCCTGTCTCGTCCTCCTCCCCCTCCATCCTCCTACTCCCCCCCCCTCCTCCTCCGATCGTCCTTCTCCCCACACCCATCCCTCTCTCCGTTCTCTCTTTCCTCCTCCCCCTCCTCCTCCTCCTCCTCCTCCTCCTCCTCCTCCTCCTCCTCCTTCTCCTCAGCATCCTTCTCTTCCTCCTATTGCTCCTCTCTCCTTTCCCTCTAGAGTGGCTGACGAGCTGACGGCGAACGAGTATTCATCCTCCTCCTCCCTCCGCCTCCTCCTCCTCCTCCCTCCGCCTCCTCCTCCTCCTCCTTCCGCCTCCTCTTCTTCTTCCTCCTCCTCCTCCTCCTCCTCCTCCTCCTCCTCCTATGCTCCTCCGATGTTCGTCCTCCTCCTCTCGTCCTCCTCCTCGGGATTGTCAGACGGTTGTCTCCCAATGAGCATGTCCCGCAATGGAAATATATTTGTGTAGGGCTATATCTATAAGGGAACTTGGAAGGAGGATGTATTGCAATATCCTTGATGGATCTTGGGTTTGCAGTGGTTTTCCTTTCTCTCATCTTCCTCTTCCTCCTCGTCCTCGTCCTCGTCCTTCTCCTCTTCCAAACGACCTCCCGAATGGTGTCCGAGTGAGTAGGGTCCTAAAATTGCGCCGCCTTGGCGATGCATTCGCGATGCACCATCGGCGTCGGGGAGTCATTGGCCACGCCTAGCAAAGATGGATCCGCGTCGATGGTGCATCGGCGATGCGGCGCGATCCTGCGACCCCATCTGCTCGGACCCCTATCTAGGAGGCCTAGACACGCACACCTGAGAGACGAGGGGTAAGGGGCCTCACGCGAGAAGACATACTTAACGACCGTACGCCGCGACCTGTGCGAGGGCCGCCAGCGAAGCACCTCGCGTGCAGAAGAGGGCACCTCTGCGCGTCCCCACACTTTCGGGAAGCTCCCGCCTAACCATACATGGGATGCCCTAGGTTACGAAAGTTCGCGCATCGCGCCCCGCGACGCGCGATCCGCGGTTGTCTCGGCGCTCTCCCGAGGCCACCTCGGCGAAAGGCGGCCGACCCAAGAAACCTCTGAATCCAATGTTGACGCTTCGCTGTTACTTCCGCCGCCATCCGCCTGCCTTCCTTTGTTTTGTTCTCATCGCATTGCGCCGAATAGCCCTCAATCAGGACACTTCGTGTGGGGCCTCAACCAAAACCGACCGAAACCAACGCATATAAAGTGGTATACCTCAAACGGAAGGGCCCAAGACAGGAGCACGAGAGCCAGAGGGCGGAGCTGCACCACGACTCCGCACTCACGCGTCCCCGCCTGCCTTCCGCTGGCATCCGCCGTCGGAGGCCTCGGTTTAACGCAGCCGTCTCCCGCCGAAGAATGTCTATGTCAACCCCGCCGATCCTCGAGAGGACGCGACAAATGTCGGAGGAACAACAAATCTGGCATGGCATTTGTTTTGTCCTTTGTTGCGCCTCGGGGGACCAGGACAATCAGAGATCGGTCCTGGGTGAGGGGGTGGCCCGGGAGGACCCCCAGAAGGGGTCTGGAACTCGACTTGGTGCGGATATCACTGAACATGACCGTCTCTCCGAATGTATCTGAAATGCACATAAAGTTACATGTGTATATGTGCATGCGTATGCGAACATGAATATGGAACTGCCACCGAGTCCCTATGGCACGGAATGGGATGTCCCCGGGTCCCTTCCTCGATCCCCTGAGCATCAGTCCTCAATCCTGGCCATTCGTGTAAGGGCCCGGGTCCCATAGGAATTCGCCCAATCCCTTGGCGCCTCCCGCGTGCCTCCTGGGGCTTGTCGCGTCGAGCATGGCCAAACCCTGCTGCAGATTGGCGCGCGGGCATGCGTTCTCGACCTCGGCGTTGTTCCGCGGAGGCGATTACGGGCAACACTGAAGGGGCCCTGGGACACACAAATCAATACACACAAATAAACAGAATCCCCATATTTTCTCATATATTTTCTGGGTTTGTGTCTTCCCGCCCGCTTCTCATATTTTCTCATACTTGCTGGGGAATCGAGGATTGCTTGTGTCTGTGTGTTTCTTTTCCTCCTGAAACACGAGGGGTCCCCCTACGGGGCCCCAGATGCTGCCCGAGCCGGCGCGCTGCCCCCCGGTACGCCGACCCCGGCAGCCGCAGCTCGGTGGGCATCGAGCGAAGCTCTGCTCGGCGCCCAAGAGCTTCTCGCCCGCAGCCCCCCGATGTCAGTCTTCCCGTCACCAGGAGGAGGAGGAGGAGGAGGAGGAGGAGGAGGAGGAGGAGGAGGAGGAGGAGGAGGGAGGAGGAGAGAGGGGAGGAGGAGGAGGAGAGAGGAGGAGGAGGAGGAGGAGGGGAGGAGGAGGAGGAGGAGGAGGAAGAGGAGGAGGAGGAGCGAGGAGGAGGAGGAGGAGGAGGAGGAGGACCTGGCCCCCGCGGCCTCGCTCAGGCCGCAGGCGCGCTGGCACCAGCAGCGGGAGCGCAAGCACGCGAGGCGGCGGCAGCAAGTAAGGCCCTCCTCGCCCCTCCTCCCCGCGAGGCATGCTTTCTCGGCGGTCGCGAAGTGACCGCGGTGTTGCTCACTTACCGTGGCTTCCAAGCGTGCAGGCCCTCTGGGATCGCTGCCACAAGGCAAGCTCCGCGACCAGAGCTCCTGCTGCGCGCGCCACAGCTGCTCCTTCTCCGCCCGCACGCTGCGCCGCTCCAGCGCGCGCTGCGCGTCCCTGCCGGCCCGGAGCTGCTCCTCGACCTCCCACCTGCGCCTCTCCGACAGCGCTCTCCGCTGCCTCCACCGGCCGTTGCCGCCGACCACGTCCATCTCGTCGAACTCCTCTGGTGGCCGCCAACAAGAGCGTATTAAGACTTCAACGCTCTCGTTCTTGCGAGCTGTAGATGACACAAGACGGCCCAAGAGGCCCGCGGTGTCGCCCCAAGACGGCCCAGGACTGCCTCAAGAGTCGAGCGCCCCAAGACGGCACAAGAGGCCCCGAGAGACCCCAAAGACGGCCCAAGAGGCGTCAAAGAAGGGCCAAAACGACCCCAGAAGGTTTCTAGAAGAGCTCAAACGGAGGAAAGGGAATGGGCTCAAAGGCCAAACACAACCCTGGAGAAACATCGGGTTTCACGCAAGATGGCATAGCAAACTTACGCGGTGGCATCCGCAAGCGCCAACGCGGCAAACCACACTGCAAACGAGGGCGTTCACGCGCAGCCTCACGCGAGAAACCGGCGCGCACCTGTCCGTGAAAACGACTCCGTTGCTCTGGGTCGCTCCAATAGAGCCCGAGCAAGTGAGGGTCAGAGGTCGCGACGCAACGCTGATGCATCAGCGACGCATCGGCGGCGTCGGGATGGAGAGAACTGGGCCCCAGACTCCACATCGGAGCCGCGATCCTTCGACCAAGCATGCTCCGACCCCATATGGCGGACCCAGAAGCCCGCATCCGACAAACTGACGCCACGCCTCTGCTTCCGCCGCCCGCGTCCGCCGACCTCTCGCCGCCCTCACCCCGCCGTGATCTGCGACGCGGCACGAGGAGGACCCCAAACACTCGAGCCGGACCGATCTGCGAGGGCCCCGGGGCCTAGCAGCTGGCGAGGACGCCCGCGGTGGAGAAATGGGAACGCCCTGCTCTGAGGGCCACTGGTGTCTCGAGCAGGGACCGACCGTCCTGGCATTCCCATAGGCCTACCACAAAACCTTCCTACACAAAAGGAAGAGCTCGGAACACAGAAACAATTCTCTTGGAACGTAGCGCCGGTATACTAAAACAATACGGCACCAACCATGAAGGTTCTGAGAACATGTCGCGTCAATCACAAAAAGGTTCGTATCGCATTCTTGGGCGGGCCTATAGTTCGGTGGCAACTTATGGGCCATGGGAGCCTCCCGTACCATTGTGTCGGCTCTTGCGAATCGACGCTAGTCGATGCCAAACGGACGTAAATAATTAAACGCTATCCGACGCTAGTCGGCGCTATCTCATCGACTCCCAGGCGCCAATCGACGCAAACCGACGCTAAAGACAGAGTTGCGAGGGCACGCCATGATTTGCTACCGAACTAAACCCAGACCCCCGACGTCCTGATTTTTCCAAGACGGCGTCCCTGGACGTCCAGATCATTTCCACCGGGGCCGGTGTTTCATCCCGAAGCGTTTTGTGACACTTCCGGGGCCCGGCGAGGGCCCCCACCCCAAGGGCCGAACACAAAGAAAAACCGCCCGTCCTGATTTTTAACAACGCGATCGTGTCCGGGTAGGCGATTGCACGACGCCTCGCCACTGCTCGAGCCTTGCGGCGGCCGGGCTCCTCGCACTCCTCCGGCGTGCTGCTCGGGGGCGCCTCTGGAGCAGGGGCCGACCGTCCCGGCATTCATATAGTCCTACCACGAAATGTTATCATAAACCCAAACATGTTCTCAGACTTAGAACATCAGCCCGATGTGATAGAACAAGACAGACTCCGCCAGAAACGTCCTAAGAACAGTTCGTGGAAGCCACAAAAGGTTCTTCGAACATTGTGTGGTAGTGCTACAGGCGAGCCAGGACGCTTCGCCACTGCTTGACCTGCGTTTGGACGCCCGAAGTGGGCACGGAGAGAATGGGTACAATGCCCAACAACGTATGTTGCCCCAAACCAACAGCGGCCACTGTTGGGCAGGCGCCCTTCTGTCCCAAATGGACACTGGCCGCGGCGACACCGACAGCGCGTCCTGTTCAAAATGAACGGGAACTGCTGTTGAGCATTGTATGTGCCCACTCTTTCCGTACCGGGTCCGTTCGTGCCCACTGCAGCGTGCTGCCCAGGGGCGCCTCCGCCCGGAGCCGCCAGACATGTTCTCAGAGCATCTCGTGGAGACCACAGAAGGTTCTTCAGAGCATTGTTCGGTAGGGCTACAGGCGAGCCAGGACGCTTCGCCACTGCTTGACCTCGCGGCGTGCTGCCCGGGGGCGCCTCCGCCCGGAGCCGCCAGAAATGTTCTCAGAGCATCTCGTGGAGACCACAGAAGGCTCTTCAGAGCATTGTTCGGTAGGGCTACAGGCGAGCCAGGACGCTTCGCCATTGCTTGACTTAAGGGGCGAAGAACGTATAAAAGAAACTTTTTCGCTGTCGTGGGCGCTTGTCCCTGGGCGGCTGGGAAGTTTATACCCTTACGGTGGCACCGTAAGGGTATAAACTTTTCAGCCGCTCTGGGGCAGGTGTCCCCGACGGCGAAAAAGTTTATTCTATACCGCTATTCGCCCGTTAATTGACCTCCGGCATGCTGCCCGGGGGCGCCTCCGCCCGGAGCCGCCGGCGGTGCCGCGTGCTCCACGAGCGGAGGCCCACGGCCGCCGACGCGCGCAAGCGCGAGGCGGCCGCGCGGGCCCGGCGGGCCGCCGGGCTGTCGAGCCTCTGCGGGGCGGGCAGGGCGGGCAGCAGGAAGCCGCGAACGTCAGAGGCGCGTTCCCAGACACGCTCGCGCCGTAAAACAAAAAACAGCAGCAACAACAACACCACCAACAACAACAACAACAACAACAACAACAACAGCACCATCAACAGCAGCAGCAACAACAACAACAGCAGCAACAACAACATCAACAACCACAACAACAACAACAGCAGCAGCAGCAACAACAACCACAACAACAACATCATCAGCAACAACAACAACAGCAACACCAACAACATTATCATCAGCAGCAACAACACCAACAACAACAACAACATCATCATCATCAACAACAACAACACCAACACCAACATCAACAACAACAACAACAACAACAATCATTTAAGACTGGGGACACTCCGTTCTCACCAGTGCCAGGGTTTTCATAGGAGGCGGGCAATACCCCCACTTTGTGGGGGGGCCGGTTCAAGCTCTACCAAGTTTAGGACGACTCTTCGCCACCACCCACACCCAGCTTCCCGCCCCATGACGTTCGGACACTTCACTTCGTGGCCTGCGGACGACCTTGGCTACTACACTGGCGCATGGGTACAATGACTTGTTGTGGTAACATTTTGTGGAAGCTAGCTTAGTATACGACTTATCCCCCTGTTCCAACACTGGACACCTGTACCGTTTTCCGACGTTTTTCCGTTTCTGTACCACGCAAGCAAAGATTATTTTGAGTGGTACCACGTGCGTGGCGCCAGCATACCACAGGACTTGTTTCCGTTGCTGCCGTCAGTAGTCCCCTCGGGCATGTCTGTGCGAATACGTTCTCCATACCAGGTCTCCAGATGGCCAGCGTTCTGCACTTTGACAAGCGTCTCTTTGGAAGAATACTGCAGTAGCCACGTCGTTGCGACCTTATCTGACACATACAGTGGTGGATCCAACTGTCGGAGCGCCCCGCATAATTTGAAAGCTGTATTATACTGGATGCCCAGGTGGCGGATGGCAGAGCCGTGCTGCTCCTCCAGCTCCTTGGCGCTAGAAATACTGACCGTGCCAGGCACAACCCGATACTTGCACCACCAAAGCTTGCACGCCTGGTGACTGACCTGGATACCCTTTGCAACGAGCGCCTGATGCAAATAATACGGGCTGCCGCAGTCGGCCAAAGGAGGCCGCGACAGCTCTGGGCCATACTGCTCGTCAAGGGCTTTCGCCGACAAAGCCATGACCCATCCAAGAACACAGGCGAAACCTTGATCCGAGATGGCTACGGATGTGACAGTGATCAGTGATTTTGTTCGATGACGTGGTGACACACGGACTTGTTGTGGTAACATGCCGACGACGATTTTCGAGGTCCCACGGTGCGATTCGTATGATTTTATGTTGCGCGGTGCTAAAATTCCTACGAAACCCAATGGTTTTTGAAGATTTCGGCGTGCGCGCGCAAAGAAAAAACGAATGTGTCCCGCATGGTATTATTTGACAGGGATGATGACCCTGGCAGGTGCGCAACGGTTGTTGGAGAAGTTCGAAGCACGTGAACAAGTTGCTCGGAAAAGCCCATTTGACAGAAATGTTTAAAAAGTGTTGGGTTTCCGACAAATCCGCAAGAGCGCGCGGGATGAAATTTTGACATTTTTTTTTGAAAAACCATTGGTTTTTTGATGTTTTTATGTTGAAATCGCTACGAACACTAAGGTTTTGGAAGGATTTCGTCTTGCGCGCGCGAATGTCCACTTTACCTTATTTTTTGCAAGGGATTCTTGAAGTTTGGTTATGTTAGAACAAGAAATGTCCACTTTAGCTTATTTTTTGCAAGGGAAAACGGGGGACAACAAAACAACCGGATCCGGACACCCACGTTTTGCCTGAGACTTCCTCACGAAAATGATGAAAATGTGGCTGCGGCCTAGGCGCGGCGAGGGGGCCGCGCACCAGGGGTCCCAACAATAATTATTCTTTAGAATAAATAATGTTCAACAACAACAACAATAACAGCAGCAGCAGCAGCAACAACAACAACAATAACAACAACAGAACAAGTCCAGGGCGACGGCAGGACTGTTCGTCCTTTTTTCGGCCCCCTGGGGGCCCTCGCCGGGCCCCGGGATCCCGTCAGGAAACGGCTCGGGGCGAGACGCTGGTCCTGGGAGGGGGAGCGGGCCGGGACTCCTGGGGGCGCCGCCCGGACAAAATCCGGACGTCGCAGATCTGGGTCGGCCAATGGGGTGGAACGGACACGATGGCTCTCAGGTCCAGGCGCTGCCCCTTTTTCGCCCACGCTGTACTACCATTTGCTCTCGGACCGGGCGCTTTCGCCCAGCTTCGGGCCCTGGGGACCCCCCCGCGAAGCGGCCCGAATCGAAACATGGCGTAGAAACATGGGGTCTGGGGTTCCAGTCGCGATTCTTTGCGATGTTGTATGTTCTGTGGCAGCGTCGGATCACGGGGTGGGTGAAACAAGGGGCGTGCTAAGCGTGGCAGCGGGCGATGAGGAAGCGAGGTGGAAGAGGAGGAGGAAGAGGAGGTTGAGGAGAAGGAGGGGGAGGAGGAGGAGGAGGAGAAAGAGAAGGAGGAGGAGGAGGAGGAGGAGGAGGAAGAAAAACAAAAAACATATACGGCAATTCTTACGCAGGGGCCGAACGGGAGGAGGGAGGAGGAGGAGGAGGAGGAGAAACAAAAAACATGTACGGCAACTCTTACGCAAGGGCCGAACGGACTTGGGGAAAACGACCCGGACGTCCCCACGCGGGTTCCCGGCGGGACGCGCAACCAAACATACCCGGGCCTCCTCGCGCCAGGAAGCGAATCACGACGACCGTGCGCTCTTCACCGTGCCCGGCCACGTGACGGCCCCCTTGCCGGGCCCTCAAGGGGTCGTCGGAAACGGCCTGGGAGGAAAAGCTCGTCCCAGGGAAATGGTCTACACACCCAGGGGCCACGTCGTGAAAAAAATGCAACCGACCCGTATCAGAAGGACCCACGAAAAAGGATGCCAGGGCCTTGGGTGGGAAAATGTCGAAGCTTTTCGTGCGGGGCGCGGCCAGCGAAGGTGGCCAAGGATGGGCCGAAGGGGCAGGGATGCCACAATACCTTATGAAGGATGTCCATCCTTGCTATGCGGGTCGGTTGTCACGTCGGCAGCCTGGGGGCTCAGGACCGACGACCGCGAGCACGTTCATCGCGCGGTCTGGACACCGAGGCGCGGTCCCACGAGCGCGCGGCACCTTACGTTCCGCGCGAGGCGCCCTCGCTTGGCCGCCCGCGTGTGGGCGCGGCCGAGGATATGGGCATGCTTGCCGCCACCGAGTTTGGCTCTGATGGGGCGCTTCAATTTCGGCATCCAGTGCAGTTTCTGCCCCCGGGCCATCAAAACTGACCCGCCACAAGGAGGTCCTCCTTGGGACAGGGGCAGGAGCAGTGAAAATCGAATTGGGCAGTCGGATTGGATCGGAACGCGCGTCGAATCGAGCCGCGCATGCACATTGGTGGAATCGAACCTAAGTGGAGGCGCCAGGACGCACAACGCTACCATGCAAGCTTCGGGCCGAATCGGACCGCCCGAATATCGGAATCCAGTCGGGCTGGCTGGAGCCGATATCGAATGGGATCCATCCGATCGAAATGGGCCCTGGGGTCGAGACCCCATGGGACCCGCGGATTGAACAGAGCCACGTCGTCGGCTGTTTCCAGGGACAAGCGGCAGTCGACGACGACGACGACGACGACGACGACGACGACGACGACGACGACGACGACGACGACAACGACGACGACAGCCACGACGACGACGACGACGACGGCGGCGGCGGCGACGACGACGGCGGCGGTGGCGGCGGCAGCGGCGGCGGTGGCGGTGGCGGCGACGACCGCCGCATATGGGGGGCCCGGAGCCGCCCACGAGGCTCCCAGAGGCCCCCAAGAGGCCCCCGGAGGACCTCCGAAAGTCCTCCAGCGGCCTCCGAAGGCCGGGATGTTTGCGCCAGGGATCCAGGCCCAGGAACCTGAGGGAGGAGAGGGGAGGAGGAGGCTGGAGCGGCGCGGCGTGGAGGCGAAGGCCGTCCGAAGGCCTTCGGACGACGACGACGACGACGACGACGACGACGACGACGACGACGACGACGACGACGACGACGACGACGAGGCGAACCTGGGCGTGCGGGCGCTTTGCGGCACGTGCGGCGAGGCCGGCGGCGGCGGCGGGCCTGGCGCCCAGCGCGAGGACCGCGGGCTCGGCGACGCGGGGGAAGCCGTGGCGCTCCTGTGGAGAGCCCAAGCCTCCTCCTCCTCCTCCCTCCTCCTCCTCCTCCTCCTCCTCTCCTCTCCTCCTCCTCCTCGCTCCTCCTCCTCCCTCCTCCCTCCCTCCTCCTCCTCCTCCTCCTCCTCCTCCTCCTCCTCCTCCCTCCTCCTCCTCCTCCTCCTCAGTCGAAAGTGAGCCTGGTAACTCAAATAGGGCATATAGCCTGTCATATAGCATCCGATTCCAAGGCGCTGACCGTGGACATCGGATGGCAAATAGCGTCCATCGCTCTGCTGTAGCTGTGAAGGTACAGTATGAGGGGTGGGCGGATAAGATAGGATAAGATCGATGTAATGATCTTTCCAGCACATAGCGAACACTCGCGGTGTCCGGGCAAATAAATGTCCATGCAAATAGCGAATACCATCAGGTATCCGGGCAAATAGGGCGCGCGTGCCTTGAGCCCAAGGCAGCGGCGCGCGAGTTATGCTCCCGATACTGTAACATCTCCCAAAGAGCTACCCTTAAAGTCGGGAGGGGAGGAGACGGAGAGCATAGTCGCACGCAAAGATCGCGCGCACGACTGTTTGCAAAGAAAAGAAAACAGTGCGTACAGTCTGGTCAAACACCAGACTGTAAGGCGAGTTTCCTCGCAAAGTATTTCACGCAAATACAGGACAGCCCCTTCAAACAATGAAGGGCTATCGGCTTAGTTAGAGGTAAGCCAAAATTAGGCCATACCTCACCAAGCAAATGTGTATTAAGGCAAAGAGCCTGAGTTGTACGAAGCCGGCTCGTTGCCAGGCGTGAAATATAAGGCTCGTTTCCGAGCAACTAAAGGGGCGCCTTTATAGTAGGCGCCCGTGCTGGCAAACTGGACCGCGAGGGCAACAAGGACAGACTAAAATTGATTAGACTTGGGTTTGTCTCTGTCCTCGGGACCCCGAAAAGGAACAAATTGCTTCACGTCATACTTAAATGACTGAGTGCCTGACATCACTTCCAGAAGCAGCTCCCGATCGATGCTTCCCTTTGTATGCCCATCTGCGGTCATATCCCTAGTATCACACCATTGCACGTTATGTACTATACCTATATCCATAAGCTCACGTATCCAACTGATATGTCCAAGCAGAGTCCGTTCTGTGGGTATTTTGAGATCCCTGCTTGATAAAGATTTGTAGACGGACTCGGCGTCTATGGTCAGAGAGACTTTGATAGCAAGGCCTCCAACTTCACGCATATCTCGTAGTTGTCGTGGAGTCAAGGCCCCTGCCTTAAGCTCATGGAGGGTAATGAGCGTAGGGTAACACTCATCAAGGTTATGTGCGGCTGCAAGTGCCTCCGCAGCATAACTGGACCTCACCTGTAATCGGTGTGATTTGCATAGTCCGTCACAGAGGTGAACGACGGACTTGCCTTGAGGCGAGTTTCCTCGCCGTAGTACGTTGGCCCCGCGTATGCCGTAGCCCTTGGTCTCGTCATCCTCCTCCCCGGTAAGCTTCCGATATCCCGAATCGCTATGGATGTCGACTTCATTCGTCGGCTTCATCCGAGGGAAGGTGATACGTTTCGGACTGCTGATCAGCTTTCGCGTCACAGCATTCAAACGTCTGACTTGTAAATTGGTGGGCTCTTGAATTTTCTGAAGAGAGACCACATATACCATAAGCCAGATTTGAGTAAGAAGGGCATAGGCGAGGGCTCCTCGCAGGCTGACGAACATGTCGGTAATAAGTTTCGTGGCTTTGGCGTCGGCCGCCGCTCCTGTAAGTTCTGGATGTGTGATGGGACGTAGTTGTTTAATATACTCGTCCTGGTCCATGATCACATCTCCCTGATCATTCTTAGTGTAGCGGACGGCACAGTTCGTATGTGTGTGCTTGTTGAGCTTGCATTTGCCAAAAACCTTTTCGACGCGTTGTACATAGTCGTCGATATTTTTCTCTAGACCTGTCATATTAATGTCATCGACATGTTTTGCAGTCAGAAGATCTTGGCTGAATTCAAATTCAGGATCGTAACTAGTCGGTGTAAGTCCTATAGCTCGTGTGGTCGTACGAAGTTTGAGAGAGAACGCTCTTGGGGCGTCCTTAGTACCCGTTCCTGGTTTGAGGCACCTAAGACAGTGTCGACTTTCGTCGTAGGATGAGAAGCCGGGTAGGGTACGAAGTACCTGAGCGCTTCCTGGTGGAAGAGTAAAGCAGACCATGCGAGTTTCCTCGCCAGTGGCATGGGCAAGTTCCTCGTAGGTCAAACCCTCTAGGAACGCCTTATCGATATCCATGGATGCTAAGGTCCACTCTGGATGACATGCCGCTTCACTTGCCAAGAGTCGTTGAGACTGCCTTCGGGCGGTTCCCGAGAATGTTTCCACATCAAAAGCCTCAGTATCCATAAATCCACGAAGGACCAATCTGAGACGAATGGTTTTAACGTTCTCGGTGCCCATCTTTACGAACTTCCACTTGTATACATATCTGGATGTCATGATGTTGGAAGCTTTGGATAAGCCGTACATCTCAAAGCATCGGTTATCGATCCAGATCTTGAGCTCAGTATATAAGGCTTCACTAACCTCCTTTGGATGTGCTGCTATGTCGGCTTTGGTCAGTAGGTCGTCTTCTTTGACAGCCACAGCACGTTTAGCAGCATTGGATACATATACTCTCATCGTTGCGACCATATCGGTATCGAGCTGTGCAAGTTGGGTCTGATCCAACACTATTTTTGACATTTCTGATGTAAAGCATAGTTCAACGTAAGGACCATATTCATCACTGTCTAGGGAATAGCTCTCGTCGTTTGTGTTCGAACAAAGAGATACTAGACAAGACTCACATGAGTTAGGCTCGTCTCCGAGCATATCTGATGATGTAATATCATCTTCGTCCGCAAATGCTGAAACCAAAACGCATTGGTTAGGCAGCATAGTTGTTGGGACGCAATAGAGATAATCATCTGTAATCGTCGTAGGATGAAGGTCCATACGTAGTTCGTCGTACCACTCTTCCAGCATCATGGCTTCGATATTGTGTTCCTCATTTTCCTCATAGATTGTCGACAGACGGCCTTCGCTAGGCGATGAAGCATCTGGTGTGTCTGGAGAAGGCCTGTTTCCAGGCGACTCGTGTTCTCCAGACGTGTTGCTTGGATGCTGATATTTAGCCAAGTCATCGTGAAATCCTAAGGAAGGGACACGTGAAGTCAAGCATTGAATAAGTCTGGAGTGAGTGCTACCAGTAATCTGAGAAATGTTTAGGCCGGTGCCCACACATTCATAGTAGTGGAACGCCGGGCTATGTCATTGTCATAGTGGATCAGCGTAGACCCGGTGGCGTACTTTACTGCAGGTAGGCTTGACACACTCTTAGCCAATCGAACTGCTACTACATGTTCCACTCTGAAGTAATTTCGTACGAGATACTGTAGTGCTAGGTGTACGAGCGGGTGAAACTTGCTATCGTCTGACAGGTTAAGGTTTCCCTTGTAGTCGGGAATATACCCGAAAACTTTGGCAGGTTTCCCTGCGCTGAGATGTGCCACATAGGCAAGGACGGTTTGCATGGCCATGTTATCCATGCCAAGTTCCCGTGTGAGGAGACATTCGATGTATAGTGTGTGACGAGCATCAGGATACATCACAATTACCTCACGAGATCCTGCCTTGACAACAATATGTCCTCTTTCAGGCACGTTTCGGATCACCGGGAATGGGCCGTTCCAGCCTCCATGGTCGTCCTTGGTGGCAGTAGGTCGGTGGTAGTCGACCAAATCCCCTGATGAGTAGAGGCGAGCACCATCAGGAGTCGTCTTAGCCCTAAGAGCCCGATTTGTCTTGGCTACAGCAGTAGCCTGAGTTATGGCTTCGAGGCTGACTTCCCTTACACGACGTTCTCGTTCGTGTCCTGAAGTCTCGGGTCCCTTGGGAAAGTCAAGGGTATCGAGATCAGGAAGGAAGGAGGGCTGACGTCCTGCGTGTGCCTGATATGGCGATACTCCGTTATAAAACGTAAACGCATTAGTAACGAAGATGCCTTCCGCCAATACTCTAGTGAATACAACAGGGATGTTGTGTCTATTCAATTCTTCCTCAATCATGTGGAAGACGCCTCTGAGAATGCCGTTTCGTGACTCAATTGAAGTCGCGTGTTGGCCCGGTGCTCGGATACGAAGTTCCGTGCCCTTATTGGCCATCATGCTTTTAGCGGCTTCATTATTCAGGGCGCCTTCTCCATCTGAGTATAAAACTTGAAGGGTCCGCGATAGGCAATCCAGCAGTAGTGGTAGGCATCGATGATTGCGTCGCGTTCTCTGTCGGAAATTTCAAGGCCTGCTGCCAGGCGAATACAACGATCCATAATATGAAATATGGTCCGTTTCTTGTAAAACATGAGGCCCATTTCCCCTTCATCGAGCAAGTTACCAGGGAGGCTTACCGATGGTAGTGTCGAGTTTCCTGGACGTTCCCATGCTCTACATTCCCGACAGGTGTCGCATATTTCCTTGATCATGTTCAGTCGAACGTTATCAAGCCCCACCTTTTCGAGGATTAGCCTCATCTTTGGCTCCTTCGCATGATACCATCGCAGATGCAGTTTTCGGAGTTCCTTTTTCACAACATGGGGATCGTGACTACGGAGACTCTGTAGACTGTGTTGAATGTCAAATCTCGTCCAGTCAGGTAGTCGTGGAGCCCCAGAGCCGGTGGAGGCAAGAGGGTTCCTTGTAGCTCTGCGTAGCTGATCCCCTGTGTTGACTGCGTCTGGAGGTAGTGGTGCGCCTTGTAGACGTCCGCGGCGGGCCGCTACCTGTGGCGCATCGCTAGAAGACGCAGAAGGCGTGTTTCCACGCTCGGGGGCGTCTCGTAGCAGGTCGTAGCTGCTGGTACCAGATGTCGGATCGACGTTACCGAAGGAACGTGGTCGCGGTGGCCTGGCGTGTGCGCCTTGGCGGCCACCTGAAGCTGAAGCTTGGCCCTCACCAGGTTTAGGTAGGGGTTTCCACCAAGCTGGCACGGT